AATGAGAAGGAACAGCTGTCTAGTGAATGTGTGATCCTGAAAGCTAAGTGCAAAAACCTGGAACTCAGAGCTAGTGAAAGTGATAGTAAAAATACTGAGTTGAACAACTAGGTTCTTGAACTTGACACCACTGTGTTAGAACTTAGATCTAAAAATTTAAAACTGAAATTAGGAACAGGTAAAAAGAAAGCTGATCACACACATCTCACCTTAGAAGAAAATCTAGGTAAAATGAAGGATGAGTTGTACAAAAGAGATGAGCAGATAAGAGTTCTAAAAGAAGATCTAGGCAAGGTGAAGCATGAGCTAGATAGAACTTGCAAATGGAATAAGTCCTCTGATGCACTATCATGGCTACAAGAACATCACAGTAGCAATAAGAGAGGACTTGGCTGTGGGACTCCTGCACCTAAGTGGGATCCCAAAAGCAAGTACATCACTCTTCCTGAGAACAAAATCTGCACACACTGTGGCAAGACTGGTCATTATAAAAGTGAATGTAATGCAAAAGAAAAGGCCAGTCAAAGGAACAAAACCTTTGTTCAGGGGAAAAATAGGCTGCCAGGATGGACTAAGAAAAATTTAATTCACCCTTTTGCCTATAGAAAGGGACCCAAACTAGTTTGGGTTCCTAAGACTAACCCCTGATTTCGTTTTGCAGGTCCAAGTTAAGGGGAGTAGCCAAATATGGTACATGGATAGTGGCTGCTCAAAGCATATGATTGGAAGTAAGAACCAATTCCTTTCACTTGAGAACTTAAAAGGAGGTAAAGTCTCATTTGGAAATGGTAAGAAAGGTGAGATCATTGGGGTTGAAAAGGTAGGTAAGACAGGCTCACATTCCATTGAGAATGTCTACTTGATAAATGGCTTGAAATATAGCCTAATCAATGTATCACAACTGTGTGACAGAGGTGACTTGGTAGCATTCACCTTTACCAAATGTTTTGTGATAAATCTTACCACTGACAAGATTGTTTTGCAGGGAAAAAGAGTAAACAATATTTACATTGTAGATTTGTCCACTCTTTCAGAAAATGAACTCACTTGCTTAAGTGTGTTGGACAATGATCCCCTCCTTTGGCACAAAAGACTTGGACATGCAAGTCTAAATCAACTCAACAAATTAGTCTCCAAGGACTTGGTGATAGGGTTGCCTAATATCAAGTTTAAGGAAGACAAAGTTTGTGAGGCTTGTGCAAGGGGGAAGCAGGTAAGATCCTCTTTTAAGAGCAAGAAAGTGGTAAGCACGACCATGTCGATAGAACTGGTTCATATGGATCTCTGTGGTCCAATAAGAAGTAGAGGTGGTAAGAAAATATGTGATGGTGCTTGTTGATGACTACTCTAGGTTTACTTGGACATTGTTTTTAAGATCTAAGGATGAAGCATTTGACATATTTACTGCCTTTGTTAGAAAAACTCAGAAACAACTAGGTAATCAACTTGCATCAATTAGGTCTGATCATGGAACTGAACTTGAAAATGCTAAGTTTGCTGAATTTTGTGATGAGCATGGCATAGATCATAATTTTTTTGCCCCAAGGACTCAACAACAAATTGGAGTAGTTGAAAGAAAGAATAGGACACTTGAAGATATGGCTAGGACTATGCTTCTTTCTAGTAAACTGCCCCATAGCTTCTGGGCAAAAGCTGTAAACACTGCATGTTACATCATTAATAGGTGCAAGACTAGACCTCTTGTAGAGAAGACTCCCTATGAGTTACTTAAAGGGAGAAAACTAAATATATCGCATCTTAGGTCATTTGGATGCAAGTTCTTTATGCACAATAATGGAAAGGACTCCCTCGGTAAGTTTTATCCCAGAAGTGATGAGGGAGTATGTTAGAAACTAAGCGTCCACCAGACTGTATAGAGAACCGGGTTCTTGATGTGTTTCCTCTGAAGATACTGAAGAACCAAACAATATAGCGATCTGGTCCTATATCAGTTTTGTACAGTGCTAACTACTGAACAAGTATGTAAATGATACACAGGATAAGTACCCACTGTATAGAGAACCAGATTCTCTATAAGTTCCCACTGTAAGCAACAGATTGTATAACCAGCCAGTATAGGGAATCAGGTTCTCTAATTGTTCCCATAGTAGCTCGGCAGAAAATAAAGAACACAAAGGATTTTACGTGGAAAAATCCCAACTCAAGGGGACAAAAACCACGACCTACAATTGTAGGCTTTCAACTTCACTAACTTGTGAACCCCTATTACAAACCACTTTGTAATAACTCTATTATAAAGAATTCAACTAACTTGTGGTACTCTTACCACAAGCCACTTTGTGACTCCCTAGTTACAAAGAAATTAACTAACTTGTGATGCTCTCACCACAAGCCACTTTGTCACAATACAGTAACAAAGGATTTTCACTCTAACTTGTAATAACACTATTACAAGCCACTTTGTAACTCTCTAGTTACAAAGACTTTACAACTTGACTAGCTCTAGCCAAGACACAAACTTAGAGGGTTTGTGATTTTGAGATTCCTAAAAACAGCTTCTAAGAAAGCTAGATAGGAGTTACAATTAAGAATAAATAACAAAGACTCAACAAACCTAAGGACTTAAGATATCTTCGATCTTGGATCAGGTCCTTGAGGTTGAAGTAGCTTTGTTCTTGAGAGAGGTTGTTCTTGCACTTGAGAGAGTATTTCCGTTTCTGATTTTGCAAGTCTTAGTGAGAGGCCTTGTGTCTTGCACCAAGTTTATATTACAAAAGACATCACCTTAGTGATATCAATTCACAATAGTGATGTCCAATCTTGATTAGTACATGCCCCTTCTCAATGGGAAGTGACTGCTGCACTGTCTGCAGAACTGTTGCGTGTACAGTTGCAGGCAGTCACTTTCTGCAGTTGCTTTCCAGCTGTACTGTTGACTTATTCTTCTGTCAGGGGAACACCAAGGTATCAGGCCCCTAATCTGATTCCCGTGAATCTAAAGACGCACTGCCCAGATTATCTTGAGTCGATTAACTTGAATGATTGTACCAGGCATGCTTCAGGTCCTTCATTTGGTTCTCTCATGAAGTAAGGTGTTTTTACCTTCCTTGATTGTGTTTATACATGTGTGACATTACTTACAATGATGTAAGCAATGTAGGTAAGAGCCTTCCATAGAAAGTTGACTGTTGCGCTGTTCCTGTGCAGTAGTGTGTGCAGGCTGCAACTTTCCTGCTGGAGAGTTAACTTCACTACAGTCTCCTTGGGAACTGGTAGGGACCTGTTCCCTCATCTGTTCGTTCTACTCTTCCCCACTTGAGTCATTGCTATCAGCTTTGAGTACCAGGTTCTTTTCTTTCTTTGGTTTCTCTTCTTTAACTGTCTATCTTCCTCTTCATCTCGTAGGTCTTCAGATTTCCAACCAGCTCTTCTATGGTCAGCTCCTACAGGTCCTTTGATTCAGTAATAACATTCACCTTGCTTTCCTAAGGGCTGGATCCCAACCTGGAACTTTGTGATCCCAAGTTCTTGTAGATGTGTAACAGGTTCCTTATCTGGTTCTGAACAGTAAGTTTGTTAGATCATCAAAACATAAAGTAAAGTACTTGTGCCCAAGGTAGTTGTAACCTATCAATTTCCCCCTTTTTGATGATGACAAACTTAGAATTGATATTCCCCCTGAGAACCAGATCTCCATATTGTTCCCCCTACGAATCAGCCATATTCCCCATGAAAACCGTACCTAAGGAGCCAATCACAACTGGTTCCTCAAGACTGTTTGGCAAATCATCAAAACTCAAAGTTCCATAACTTATCAATTTCCCCCTTTTTGATGATGACAAACCCAGAATTAATATTCCTCTTGAGAACTAGATTCCTCATATGTTTCCTGCGGATCAGACCTATAATCAATATATTATCAGCAACATTCCCCCTACGAAGCAGAGCTATCTCTTGAGAACCAGAGAACCAGATTCCTCATATGTTTCCCTGCATTATCAGCAATGTTCCCGCTGCGAAGCAGATCAATCTTTCATGCACAACATTCAATCTGCATTATCAGCAACGTTCCCCCTGCGAAGCAGATCCATCTTTCATGCACAACATTCAATTTTGTTCCTCCCATGTTGACACCTATATAACTTCCCCCTTTTGGAATCATCGAAAAGAATAACAGAAGAAGTACTACCAAAAAGAAGTTCAGCAACATTAACTCGGGCCACTTGGGCAACACAACATAAACAATAACAAGAACAACAAATGAATGTCAGTGCACAACATAGAGTGATTGCCTATAGTGAAGTAATGCTAATAAAAGCACTGTAGCTTCAACAATACATAATATGACAACTTAAACCACTGAAGTACCAATGTCATCAAATATAGGAATCAATAGAGGATAAGAATTCAAGGGAATTTGGAAGTGTGAAAGACATGGATCACTGGGCAGGAGGGAAGTAAGGGGCTAAGGCCTTGATGAGCGTGTCCATTCGTTCGTTTCCTCCACCTGTTTCCTCAATCTTTCATTCATTCTCACCTTCAACTTAGCATTCTATTCTTCCAAGGGTCCTCGAGGACCTGGTGCTCAACCTGTCTGAGTAGGTTGAACCATCAATTAGATCACCAAGAAGCTCCCCAAGCTTCTTCTCATCAAGAACAAACTCAGTCCCATGCACATATAGCATCAGATTGTCACATAAAGCATAGAACTTTTTACTTCTTCTTCATAAACATTGGGTCTTGGAGGAACAAAGAGGTGATTCTATTTTTTGGAACTCAACAATGTCAAGAAGTTCCTCCATTTTTTTCAGCAATAGCAGAGTCAACACTCTGCCTTACAGCCCTTTTTGAGACTTCAACGTCTTTTCCCTCCAAACCTAATGGCTCAATATTTTTCTTTTGTATGGAACCAGGTTCTTCACTTACACTACCCTTTCTATCCCTGAGCTGCCATGTCTCCCTCTTTCTCTTCTCAATCTGTTCATCCTTATCATCTGTTGCATCTTTCTCAGCCAACTTTCTTTTCTCCATTTTTTTTTTCACAAATGGAGATTCTTCCACTTCATCCTCTCTTCCACAATCACCACATCAGCAGGGTACACCACTTCCTCATCAATCAGCCTGCTTTTCTCAATCTTTTTTACTGGATCAGAGGTTCGTTTATACACAGAACTCAAAGAGAAAAAGATCATCATTAAAATTGACTTCATGAGAAGGACTTGAGGGATCAGGTTCCTCATTCAGTCCTCACATTTACCAATTTCTCCATCCTTCAAGACTTCCACAAATCCAACCACAACTTCAGCCTCACGCTCTAGACTAATAGATCTACCCTGTTCCCTTTCAGTTAAACTTCCATCAAAATCTACCAAAGACTTCTTGGGGTTTTGATTCTGATGGAGTTAGGTTTTTGGAGAGTGAGAGAGTTGGGTTCAGTTCTTGCATATTTGGAAAGAAGGATTACTTTGAGACAAGGTTGATTCTCGTTTTGAAGAAAAGAATCGGTTTTATTAGGGTGTAAGATAGAGAAGTTCATTTTTGGGGTAATGGGTCGGTTCAGAAAAGGTTTAACATTTTGGACTTCAAAAGTTAGGAGAAGGAAGGAGAAAGGCAGAAACAAATCAATGACATGACACTTCAGCAGCTTAAAAAGGCATATAAGTATTGAAGAGACTACTAACCTGAGTCACAGGAATCAGGTTCCGTGACGGTTTTTTTTTTTGAAAATTTTGAGCAAAGACTCCTAGAAGTGCAATGTCACTCTTACTTGTTTTTGTCTTGAGACTGCCATATGTGTATACCTGTAACAGTATAGATTTGAGTTAGATGTCCCCGAAAAACACTTTTTAGCATTTTGTACCTTTCCTTCTTAACATAGCCTATCATCGAGGGACAGGTCCTTAGTTGAGCTTGATCAACCCCAACTCCAGAAGATTTCTTTCACACTAAGCACGGGGAGCCTGGATTCCATAGCAGTTCTGTCAGCAGGTCGTGGAACCAGGTTCCACATACTGTTCCTATCAAGTTGACGCAGCTCTTCTTGCACAACTGTAATCCAGTCAGCATCTTTCAATGCTTCCTTGGTGTTCTTTAGGCTCTATTTGAGAGAAAAAGGCTGAGAAGGCAAGTGAGTTTCTTGTCTTTGATCTAGTTTGAATTCCTTAACAGCCGGAGTTCCATGTACAGCATCTACAACTTTGTTTTCTGCTTCAGATATTGTGATTGGGGGACCATGTTCCTCTATGTCGGCCGGAGTCTCATATTTAGTTCTCTTTCCTCCTTTACTTGGCATCCTCATAGGTCTATATAGATCCATATGGAGGAGATCAAGTGGCCTTGAGATGTTAACTTCCTTTTTGGGCTTAGGATCTGACTTGCTTTCCTCTTACACATGCATCACGCACCTAGTGATCCTTGAAGCTTGACTTGAGCAGACCACGAACCAGTTCCTTCTTGACTCATTTGTTCAGCAGTGTGAAACTGACATGGCCGAGCCTTCTATGCCATAGCTCAGCATTACCATTAACAGCACTCAGACAGCCAAGATTCCTTTGTCACAGATTTGGGAAATACCCAGCAGAATCTCTTAGAGGACCAGGTACTCTACTGTTCAACGGTATCATACTATTCTCGATCCTTCCAACTCCCACAATGTATCCCTTCTTGCCATTTTCAAAGGATACACTCCCTCCTTGCAGGGCCTTCAGTGAAAGGAAATCATTTGTTCTTCCAGTTATGAGCTTTGAGCAGTCGCTATCCATGTGCCACTGTTGATTGCCCCCTTTCACTGTTCCCTGCACACTTAAGTCAATGATTAGACTTAGGAACCCAAGCCAGCTTGGGTCGCTTATAATGATAGAACAGGCGGATCAAACTTCTTTTTGCCCATGCAGGCAGCACATATTTTCTTTTCAGGGAACCAGGTACCTCATCAGTACGCCTCTTTTCAACAAAAACTCTGTTTTTCTGTAAAGACTGAATTTTAACTTTACAAGAGTCCATGTAATGACCAATTTGACCACAGTGAGTGCACAACCTATTAGCAGCCATAGTTACATACTTCCTATGGTGACTATAGGAGGTTTTAGCCTTTGGAAACCCGATGCCTTGCCTGTTTCCACCATTACTCCTGTATATAGACGTTATCACATTAGAGGACCAGGTCCATTTTAGTGACTTATCAAGATCATTTTAACCCTTTTTAAATCCTCCTGAAGTTGTCTATCCTTTTCAAGCTCAGCAACAAGACTTGTTTTAATTTTAAGCTCACACTCAAGCTCAAGTTGAGCCTTTCTAACCACTTCCTCTCCCTCAGTGTTGTCCATCCACTTTTTTGTTTGTTTTTTCAACAAGTTGTGTTCTCTAGTTACTTCTTCCATTTGTTCCCTTAAATCATCAAAGGAAACTACCATATCATCCCTTTCTTGCTCCATAGCAATTTTCTCTACTAGAGTATTCTTCTCTTTGCTAAGGTTCTCTATGGTTTTCTTCAAGTCAACAACCACTACCATCAAATCATCTCTAGATTGTTCGGCATCTCCTAGCTCTATGATTAGGGAATCATTATCATTAACAAAACTATAATATGTATCAATTAGAACATTTGCTAATGACATTAATTTCTTTGAATAGTAGGACTTCAGATTTCTCTGAGCATCCCTGAAATTTACCTCATCATTGTCATCCTCTTCATCCTCATCGGACCGAGCCATCAATGCAAACAATGAATCATCTTCATTTTGCATTGCCATCATGGAGCTTCTTCCTGCATCTGGTTCCTCTTCTGATTCACGGGAGAAGTCTCCCCATGCAGCAAGAGCTTGCTTCACAACATTGTCAGCTGCACTTTTTTGGCTGAATCATTTATCAGGAACCAGGTTCCTTTTTGCTACTTTGTCAGAGTTGTGTTTGTGATGCTCTTGTTTCAGAAATGGGCAGTCTTTGATGAAGTGTCCAGGCTTTCCACACTTATGACAGCAATCATTTCCTTTGGAATTCATGCTGGAACTTCTTTTCTTTGGGATCCCACCATTTTTGCGACCCATCTTCTGAAATCTTTGTGGTCTATTGGTTGATTGACTTTCCTCGAAGTTTGGTGGAGCAGCCATGTAGATCCTTTCTAGGTGTTAACCTTTTAGAAAGAACCCGCTCTGATACCAATTGTTAGAAACTAAGCGTCCACCAGACTGTATAGAGAACCGGGTTCTCGATGTGTTTCCTCTGAAGATACTGAAGAACCAAACTATATAGCAATCTGGTTCTATATCAGTTTGGTACAGTTCTAACTACTGAACAAGTATGTAAATGATACACAGGATAAGTTCCCACTGTATAGAGAACCAGATTCTCTATAAATTCCCACTGTAAGCAACAGATTGTAAAACCAGCCAGTATAGGGAATCAGGTTCTCTAATTGTTCCCATAGTAGCTCGGCAGAAAATAAAGAACACAAAGTATTTTTACGTGGAAAAATCCCAACTTAAGGGGACAAAAACCACGACCTACACTTGTAGGCTTTCAACTTCACTAACTTGTAAACCCCTACTACAAGCCACTTTGTAATAACTCTGTTACAAAGAATTCAACTAACTTGTGGTACTCTTACCACAAGCCACTTTATGACTCCCTAGTTACAAAGAATTTAACTAACTTGTGATGCTCTCACCACAAGCCACTTTGTCACTCTACATTAATAAAGGATTTTCACTCTAACTTGTAATAACACTATTACAAGCCACTTTGTAACTCTCTAGTTACAAAGACTTTACAACTTGACTAGCTCTAGCCAAGACACAAACTTAGAGGGTTTGTGATTTTGAGTTTCCTAAAAACAGCTTCTAAGAAAGCTAGATGGAGTTACAATGAAGATCAAATAACAAAGACTCAACAAACCTAAGGACTTAATATATCTTCGATCTTGGATCAGGTCCTTGAGGTTGAAGCAGCTTTGTTCTTGAGAGAGGTTGTTCTTGCACTTGAGAGAGTATTTCCATTTCTGATTTTGCAAGACTTAGTGAGAGGCCTTGTGTCTTGCACCAGGTTTATATTACAAAAGACATCACCTTAGTGATGTCAATTCACAATGGTGATATCCAATCTTGATTAGTACATGCCCCTTCTCAATGGGAAGTGACTGCTGCACTGTCTGCAGAATTGTTGCGTGTACAGTTGCAGGCAGTCACTTTCTGCAGTTGCTTTCCAGCTGTACTGTTGACTTATTCTTCTATCAGGGGAACACCAAGGTATCATGTCCCTAATCTGGTTCCTGTGAATCTAAAGACACACTGCCCAGATTATCTTGAGTCGATTAACTTGAATGATTGTACCAGGCATGCTTCAGGTCCTTCATCTGGTTCTCTCATGAAGTAAGGTGTTTTTACCTTCCTTGATTGTGTTTATGCATGTGTGACATTACTTACAATGATGTAAGCAAGGTAGGTAAAGAGCCTTCCACAGAAAGTTGACTGCTGCGCTGTTCCTGTGCAGTAGTGTGTGCAGGCAGCAACTTTCCTGCTGGAAAGTTAACTTCATACAGTCTCCTCGGGAACTGGTAGGGACCTGTTCCCTCAGCTATTCGTTCTACTCTTCCTCACTTGAGTCATTGCTATCAACTTTGAGTACCAGGTTTTTTTCTTTCTTTGGTTCTCTTCTTTCACTGTCTATCTTCCTCTTCATCTCGTAGGTCTTCAGATTTCCAACCAGCTCTTCTCTGGTCAGCTCCTGCAGGTCCTTTGATTCAGCAATAGCATTCACCTTGCTTTCCCATGGGCTGGATCCCAACCTGGAACTTTGTGATCTCAAGGTCTTGTAGATGTGTAACAGGTTCCTTATCTGGTTCTGAATGGTAAGTTTGTTAGATCATCAAAACATAAAGTAAAGTACTTGTGCCCAAGATACTTGTAACCTATCAGAGTATTCTTTACATAGCAAAGCTTATAAAGTGTACAACAAAAGAACTATGTGTGTAGAAGAAAGTGTACATGTAGTTTTTTATGAAAGTAACATTCTTTCTGAGAGACAGGAACATGAAGATGAAGCTATTGGGCTGGCAAAAGAATTAAGTGAAGTCACAGCCCAAGCTGAAGCTGCACCAAAAGAAGGAACAGGTGATGGAACAGGTTCTTCCATCCAGGGCAACCTGACAGGGGGAACTGAACAAAGAAGAACTGAATCTAATTCCCAAATGGAACCTGTTTATGAGCCTGTTCCTCAGCAACAGAACATGGGAGAAACATCAAACAGAAACCAGTTGGTTGTGAAACCTTACAAGTATCAAAGTTCTCATCCCATTGAGAACATAATTACTGATCCAACCTCTGGAGTTAAAACTAGATCTCAATTAAAGAATCTACATGCTTTTGATGATTTCTTATCTCTTATTGAACCTAAAAATGTTGCGAGGCTTTGCAGGATGCAGATTTGGTAAATGCAATGCAAGATGAACTCAATCAGTTTGAAAGGAGTCAAGTTTGGCATCTGGTTACAAGACCCAAGGACAGATCAGTAATTGGCACTAAATGGGTCTTCAGAAACAAACTTGATGAAGATGGAACTGTTACAAGGAACAAGACAAGGTTGGTGGTCCAAGGTTATAGCCAAGAGGAGGGCATAGACTATGATGAGACCTTTGCTCCAGTTGCAAGATTGGAGGCAATAAGACTCCTCATAGCCTTTGCAGCACACATGGAATTTACCCTTCACCAGATGGATGTGAAGAGTGCCTTCCTAAATGGCTACTTGAAAGAAGAAGTATTTATCAAACAGCCTCCAGGGTTTGAAAGCAAGGAGTGTCCAGATCATGTATTTAAACTGGACAAGGCACTCTATAGGCTCAAGCAGGCTCCTACAGCATGGTATGAACGACTATCCAAATTCCTGCTTGAACATGGCTACAAGAGAGGTAAGATTGATAGTACTCTATTCTTGAGGGAGAAAGGTAAGGATCTACTAGTAGTACAAATATATGTTGATGACATAATTTTTGGGGCAACCGCAGAAAAACTGAGTAAAGAATTTGCTAAATTAATGGGAAGTGAATTTGAAATGAGTATGATGGGTGAGCTTAACTTCTTCTTAGGCTTACAGATTAAACAAAACTCAAATGGAACCATGATCCATCAGCAGAAATATGCAAAAGAGTTGATTAAGAAGTTTAAAATGGATGAATCAAAGGAAATAGACACTCCTATTGTAACAGCCACTAAATTAGACATAGATGAACCTGGTTCATCTGTTGATCAAAAGTTGTATAAGGGTATGATTGGTTCAATTTTGTATTGTACTTCTAGCAGACCTAACATTATCTTCAGTGTAGGGCTTTGTGCTCGATTTCAAGCAAATCCTAAGGAATCCCACTTGACTGCTGTCAAGAGGATATTGAGATACTTGAAAGGCACTACTGACCTTTGCCTTTGGTATCCTAAAGGTAGTAACTTTAATCTAGTGGGATATGCTGATGTTGACTATGCAGGTTTCCGTGTGGATAGGAAGAGTACCTCAAGTATGGCTCATTTTCTTGGTTCATGTCTGGTATCATGGGCCACTAAAAAGCAGAATCCAGTGGCCTTATCCACTGCTGAGGCTGAGTATGTTGTTGCTGCCTCTTGTTGTGCTCAATTGTTGTGGATCAAACAGCAATTGATGGATTTTAGTATTGAAGTTGGTTGCATCCTTATTTTTTGTGATAACACTAGTGCTATTAGTATGACTAAGAACCCGGTTCATCATAAGAGAACTAAGGACATAGATGTTAGACATCATTTCTTGAGGGACAACTATGAGAAAGGATTGATCACAATAGAATTTTATGCTACTAACAAGCAGATTGCTGACATTTTTACAAAAGCACTGAGTAGAGAAAGCTCTGAAAGGAACAGGTTAGAACTAGGGATGATTAAGATCACTTAATGAAATTAGTTCAGAATGCACAATGAAAAACAAAAATGAAAAAAAAAATTTGGTTAGGAAATCTGGAACTTGTATAAATATCTAGATTAATTTTTGCTCAGTTTCATACTGTAAATAGTATACTCTTGTGCCATGTGTTAATATGACTCACTGATCTCTAAAAAATTTCTCTCCTTTGGTAAATAGAGGCATGATCAAGAGGATTCTTAGTGAAGAACCTGGTTCATCAGTACTGGTTCATCTGAATAACGAGGTATGTTTTTTACACTCTGCACAATTAGAAATATTAATATTTAATTCATGATCAGAGTCCTACCTATAATCAAAAACATCAGAAAAACCTATCCTTTTAATTTTGAACCAGTTCCGTCTTCATTAGAATTCTCACCGCACAAAATGCCTAAAATCTAGTGAATCTTAACCGCTCATTCAACCTGAAATTTCAGGTTGATTGGACTTCTAACTGACCGCAAAAAGCTACCGTTAGTCATTAATTAATCCTCTCTCTTTAAAACCCATCATCACCATCTGCCACCCTCATAATTCCAAAATCGTCGAAATCTCTCTTGCTCTCAATTCTTCTCTCTTCCAAATGCCAAACTCAAAAATCCACTTACGAAATTAGCAAAAATGTCTAACCCTCAAGATAACCAGGCACTCCTCCACAACCTAACCCTTCTGATTCCTCCACACCTCCTCAACCCAGCACAACCCCCCAACCTAGGAGAAGACGAGTTAAGATGCTTGCTCGCAAAACTGTGGCTACAGGTGCACTTTCAAAAAGACTGAACGCACAATTGAAGGCTAGCCAAGCCCAAGAATCTGAAAACTCAGATGATTCCTTCAAATCTGCGAGTGAGCGAGAAGGAACTGGGTCTTCTGATTCTGAGAAGGTTCAAAATTCCCCTCCTGGGGTACGCTCTGTTTTGGTTAAAAATTTGGATAATAGGTTTGTTCTAGTTGGGTCTGTTAGGAATGTGGAAACACCTGAGTCAAGAAGGAGAGGAGGTAAAAATAAAAGTTAAAAAGAAAAGGAGAGTGAGGGTGTGAGTAGTGATGTGAGGGACAGAGGGATAGAAGTGACTAATTCCTTACCCACTTCCGAAATGGTTAGACCGGCTATCTGTGGGTCTGAACATGAAACTGTGGAAGAGGATAGCAAGAAAACAGGGGGAAGTAGTTCAGGGGAGGCTGCTGAAGG